TTAGCCTGGTTTACCCATCTCTGGCTGTGGGGTGAGGCCAGGCGCTGGCAGATTTTGAAGTTGGTTTGGGCCCTGCCTTGACTGAGGGGTGCTGTCAACGTCAGAAGAGAGGGGGCCGGAGAGCTGAGCCCCCAGCTCGTGCCTGCCCTTCAGCTGTGGCTGGAGGAGGTTGCAGGTGATCTGCTCAGAGCTCTGACTTCTCCCTTCCCTCTCTCCCATCCCCTTCTCACAGAGCCCAGGGTCTGCTCTGCCCCTCCAGAGGCTGCTCGGGTGGAATCCAGCCCTCCACGCTGCCTCACGCTGCAGGAGAAGCTCCTCTCCCACTACAGCAACCAGCTGGCTGTGCCCGAGGCGCAGGCATCCCTCGCCCTGCAGCTGGCCAAGGGCGTCTGCAGACTTCTCCCTTCCCTCTCTCCCATCCCCTTCTCACAGAGCCCAGGGTCTGCTCTGCCCCTCCAGAGGCTGCTCGGGTGGAATCCAGCCCTCCACGCTGCCTCACGCTGCAGGAGAAGCTCCTCTCCCACTACAGCAACCAGCTGGCTGTGCCCGAGGCGCAGGCATCCCTCGCCCTGCAGCTGGCCAAGGGCGTCTGCACCCAACTGCAGAACTTCCTGCAGAGCAAGTGCCCGGAGCTGCCCTTTGGCCGCCTCTTCCTCAGCGGTCCCCTGCTCGATGGCCTCGGCGCTCTGGCAGCCGACCACGTCCACCTCATGCTGCCCGTGGTCCTCAACCCCGCGCTTTGGAGCCTCATCCCAGGAGAGGACACCGTGGTGAGGAACCCCCAGTACTGGATGATCAAGAGGACTGATCTGGAGTATTTCCCTCGTGGGTGCAGCCCCTGGGACAGGTTCATCGTGGGCCGGTACCTCTCCTCCAACGCTCTCAATGAGACCCTGCACAAGATGTTGGTGGCCTCCGTGAACTGGCCTGCCATAGGCAGCCTGCTGGGCAGTGTCATCCACCCTGTTGTGGCCTCCCAGGAGCTGAAGCTGGAAGTCAAACATGACCAGGTCACTGTGAGCGTCACCCTCTTCCCAGTGGTGGAAATGGAGGACAAGGTTCTTCTGGCT